CCTGTGCTTTGCTAAGCTTGTTCTAAGTAGGTGCTTTGGACCACTGAGACATCTCACCAGCCCCCTCCGGGCCTATTTTACTTTGTTTTTGAGACAGGGTTTCACTATGCAGTTCATACAGGCCTTGAACTCATTGCAGTCCTTCTGCCTCATTTTTCTGAATTCTGAGACACATCAAGCTTTTATTTTGTTTTAATGTATTTGGTTGTTACAGGTTGTCACTATGCAGCTTGTATTCATATTGATCCTCCTGTTTTCAGCCTCCTGAACGTTGGGATTCCAGGTGTGTGCCACTATGTTTGCCCTGACTCTGTGCCCTAGGGATGGCGCTGATGCAGAATGTGATACTGGGGATTGAACCATGGTCCCTGCACTTGCCTAAGCAGGTGCTTCAGTCCGTTAAGCTATCTTTCTGGCCCCCCCCCCTTTGTTTTGCAGTACCAGGGATCAAACTGAGGACCTCGTGCTCGCCAAGCAGGGGCTTATTCCATAATATTCCTATCTTTCCCAGCCCCTACTGAGCCTTATTAGGAATATTCTTTTTTTTTTTTTTTTTTTTTTGGTGGAATCGGGGATCGAACTCAGGCCCTTGCACTTGCCAGGGAAGCACTTATTCCACTGAGCCATCTCCCCGGCCCCCTATGAATATTCTTAAAGAGGTAACTGATGGGCTGGTGAGATGGCTCAGTGGTCTAAAGCACCTACTTAGAACAAGTGTAGCAAAGCACAGAGACTGCGGTTCAATCCCCCAGCACCACATGCCAGCCAGCCCCGCCCCCTGGTGGGCTGAGCTGGCCACACACACACACACACATAAATAAGATTAAAAAAAAAAAGAGGTAACTGACTAGGGTAGATTGTAGAGAATTTATTTCTTTGGAAGTTTAAAATCTTGCTACATTTTATTAAAATGAAACCAGCTTTGGGAGTAAGGGAAGAAGATGCTTGTACTTGAGAGCCCATTTACTGGAGGGTCTGTGTATAGTGGTGAGTTAAGGGAATAAGATGTAACAGTTTCAAATTTTATCTTGTCACTCTCTGCCTCTGCTTCAGTGTAGACTATTTCAGCCTGCTCCTTTAGTCTTCCTCTTTAATCCAGAATTGCTGCATTCTTGGCATCTTGCTGATTTGACCAGGTAGTTGTAAATTCTGCTTTAAAACCTATACTGAGGTGCTGGTGAGATGGCTCAGTGGTCTGAAGCACCTACTTAGAACAAGCTTAGCAAAGCACAGGGACCACAGTTCAATCCCCCAGCACCACATGCCAGCCAGCCCCGCCCCCTGGTGGGCTGAGCTGGCCACGTGCGCGTGCGCGCACACACACACACACACACAAATAAATAAATAAATAAAATTTAAAAAAAATAAAAATAAAAATAAAACCTATACTGAGGCTGGGCGTAGTGGCTCACACCTGTAATCTGATAACTGGGAGGCTGAGGCAGCAGGATTGTTGGGAGTTTGAGACCAGCCTGAACTGCATAGTGAGACCCTGTGTCTAAATAAAGACATAAACTCTATACTGAAACTGCCTGTAATACCAGCCTGGGCAACAGGATAATCTCAAATTTAAGCACAGTGTATACAGTTAAACAATTTTGTGAGACCCTATCCTAAAATAAACAATGAAAATGGCTGGCAGTGTAGCTCTGTGCAAAGGGTCTGCTTTCAGTCCCTACTACTGCAAAAACCAAACCAACACACTGACCTGGGTTTAGGGACAAATGCCTGTACTCCCGTTAATCGAGGAGCTAATACAGGATGATTGTAGGTTCACAGCTAGCTGTGCAATGGAATGAGACCCTGCCTGTCCTTTTTTCTTTAGATAGTTTTGCTACATAGCCCTGGCTGATTGCTAACTCACAGCAGTCTTCCCGCCTCGGCCTCCAGAGTGCTGGGATTACAGGCCCTGGCTGTTTTTTTGAGATAAGTTTTGCTGGTGTAGTCTGGGTTGACCTCAAATTTGAGGTGATCTTTCTGCCTTGGCCTCCTAATGCTGGGTTTATAGGTGTGTGCCAAGAGGACTGGCTTTTTTTCACTTTTTTTTTTTTATATTTTAGGGAAGGATCTACAGGGTGTTCAGGGTCTCTCTACTAGATTGGACTCATAGCTTCCTGTTTAAAGCCTCCCAAGAGCTGGGATTATACATACCATGCCCAGTCTTAATTGGCATCTCAGGGGGTCCCAGGGGCGCTGTGGGATCGAATGTTCCAGGCCCCTATGCCTGCTCAGCTCAGCTCTTTCTTTTTTTTTTGCGGAACCAGGGATCGGGCCCTTGGGCTTGCCAGGCAAGTGCTTATTCTAGTGAGCCATCTCCCTGGCCCTCCTTTCACTTTTTATTTTGAGACAGGGTCTTGCTGAGTCACTGAGCTTACCTTCTGCACTTTCTCCCTTTTTATTTTTATTTTTTTCTCTCTTTTTAAATGAACAAATTTTTGCAAGTCACCATTCTCTATCCATCCTTCCTTGCCCTCCCTCCCTCCTTCCCTCCCTC